GGCCGGGCGATTATTGGGGTCCGCCCGCGCCGCCGCTGCCCTGCGCCCTCGCAGTGGGGCGCTGCCCCGCGGCAAGCGGGTGGTGGGGTGCAGCTCAGTCAAGACGGAAAACAAAGTCAGCAGGTCACCTGGCAGGTTCCGAGCGAATTATGCAACGAAAGCCCGGGAATATGCGATGCGTTCCGCCCCCCACCCCCAACTTTTAAATTTTTTCTGAAGCTCCTGGGAAGCCGGTTCTAGTTTAAGGGTTGAGCAGGGATCGACCGAACAGCTCCTCTGACGTGCTTACGACTTTGCTGGACACCTCAAGAGCGACTCTCCCTCCCCACCTTTCTTTAATGGGAACATTATTGGGGGGGGCGATAAAGAGATGGAGGGGGGACGGGCAGGCTAGATCCAAAAGCAACGCCGACGGGACCGAAACCTAAATTAAACCATCTCTACACATACTCAATTCCTTATCTCCCCAGGTCTCAGGACTGTGCCCTCAGACAGAATTTAAAGAGTTAACGCTGGCCATAGCTCCTTGTTTTTCATGCTAACATTGTGGCATTAGGACTATTTTGTTAACTAGGTATATGCAATTCACAGAATTTCACGGTAAATTCCCCAGACCAAATATTTGGCTGAACAAATAAACAACCTTATCCATTCCTGAAAATAAGCCAGTAGAAGAAGGGGGGTGGGGTTGGGGGGAGGGTAGTTGCTAGAAAGTGACCTGAGCCCGGCAGCCACTGGGCTCAGGACTCGCCCTGCGATCACTTGCCCAAGTGCTAGAGATCTGCGGGTTCCTTTCCAATGACACGGACATTTCAGAAAGTTGCTGGAAATGGGGCAAAACAAAACGAGGCCGCCTGAGGGGAACCCATAATGGGCTTCCCCTAAATGATTTATTCGACCTCCATACCATTAATCAAAGGGGCAGCGACCTGGGGGGCTAGTGGAGGGGGGAGTACCTCTCTTTGCAGGGAGTTTTGGAGGAACTGTGGAGTCTTGCTGCCTTTGCCTGGGGCTCTGATCTCCTCTCTCCACCTGCGCTCTCCAGGGAGCTGGGGCTTTGGCAACTGTTCTACTTCTATTTTTATTGGTTTCCACTAAGCTGCTCCTTTTGGAGGATTGTAGAACTTCAGTAATTAAAAACAAAAATGAATCCTGCTTCACACAGCCCATCCCCAAGAGCACATGGAAGAGTGTGTGTACATGAATGCACACACATCACCACCACCCCCCTCCACCCTCACAATAAGGCACCTCTGTCAGCCCACCCTACACAGGCTGTACAAAGACACTGCTTTTCAACTCATCCAAAGCTTCTCAGGGAAAAAAAAAAATGCACACATAAGAAATGAGTCTAAGCAGGCGAAAATTCCAGGGCTTAATTTAGTTGCTGGTGGCAAGTAAGAAAACCCAAAGGTCTCTCCTCTGGTCCTCTTAGCCACTATATGCATGTCATTTCAGAAAGCCATTTCTCTGCCTTGCTGGCAGCCCTTAACTGAGAGAGAAGGCTCAGGCACATTAGTATCTTTCCTTTGACCAAAATTTGAGCTTTCCCCTTGAAGAAACCCTGGCTCAGAACATCATATCCAACTGTCTTTCTGCCCAGCTCAGAGAGACAAGGAGAGTTGGCTTTTGACTCAAGAGAATCTGCACAGTGGAACTTCTACAGTGCCTACTTAGCAATTTTGACCCATCAGTACCTGACCCCATTGTCAACCTCCACCCAGTCCAATCTGTTGGAATTTTGAGCTCGACAAAGGCCTTCATGTTGGAATAGAAAATAAGGAAGCCAAAACATGGTAGAGAATTCCACCATGTGGTAAATTAAAACAGTGGTCACCAAACATTTTGAAGGTAAGGCACATCACTTACTTTATTGGCTAAAACCCACTTCTCAAAAAAACCTGTTAAAAACACTCACACACATATATACATGTTAATATGTGAGTATGCAAATTAGTTGTGGATTGAAACACACAACATTGAGGCCTATAATATCTGGAGACACCCTAGGGTATCATAAAAGCAGAGGTGGGAATCATTTCCCCAAGAGCTGAGATTCTTACCCATCACACTCAGCTGGGATGCACCTCTAACAGGTGAGCAAATCCAGAAGATGTACAAGGAGCCCAAAACTGAGTCTTTAATCTGGCCTACTCCTTTTATCCCACTGTTTTCCCAAGGCATGTGTCATCCAGATGGGAGAGGATGCTGCGTCCTTGTTAACATTAAATAGAAATGGAAAACAATTCATCCTGGCAATTACCATCTCTCTACCATCAGTTTACTTCCTGTCCCTAGAACTTAACCACCTCCAGCTACCACCCTCAGACTTCCATTCTGCCCTCGCCCCACCTCATTCAAAAGAGATGGGACAGGAAGAAAAGAGAAAGGATTGGAGAGAAAAGAACATAGTTTACCTTTAAAATAATGACTCATTTTATTTTTTCTTTTAATACGTAGTTATAAATATATTTTGTCAAAATATATGATCAATATGGTCAAAACATTTGCACGTAAAGTCATAAATAAGGTCAAGGTGAATGTTTAGGTTTTTTTCTTTTTTTTTTTTTTTTAAAGATAAGAGTCCAGCTATAAGGAAGCAGTCTGTGTAGTGTGTGGGTGAGTGGATGGGAGTGTGTGTGTGTGTGTGTGTGTGTGTGTGTGTGTGTGTGTGTCCAAGGACTGCTGATCTCAGCGGCAACCACATCCCTCTACCACCATCTCCTGATAATTTTTCAGTACCACCTTGTCATACTCATCCAGGTACAGCATGGAGATGGCACTCAGTTCAGTGGGAACACAACAGGCTTTGGGGATACTGGAATTGACAGAGTTGACCAGGGTCTGCACAATGGCATGGTTGGTTGAGTTGAGGTGGTCAGCCAGTGGAAAGGGGCAGTCCCCGTGGCAGTAGAAGGCCTGGTAGCCCGGCGGGGCCACAATCCAGTCATTCCAGCCCACGTCACTGAAGTCCACATAGAGTGAGTGGCGTCGGCAGTTCTTATTCTTCTTCCGGGCCCGCTGTGGGTGATGCTTGGGGCTACGCTTGGCCCTCCGCCTCCGGGTCAAGACATGTCCCCGGCCATCGTGGCCAAAGGTGACCAGGAGGGGCCGGAGCTGGGCCCAATCCCCACTCCCTTGAGGTAACGATCGGCTAATCCTGACATGCTGGCCCTGGTGGGTCCGTGTCTGATGGAGGTGAGTCACCTCGATGGTCAGCCCATAGTTCGGCTGCTTCTCCCGGGTCCAGCGAAGGACCGCAGGGCTCACATCAAAAGTTTCCCACCGTGTCACATTGTGGTGGACCAGTCTCGTGTCCAGTAGTCGTGTGATGAGGTGCCCAGGCACCAATTCTCCCGGGGGCTTCATAACCTCATAAATGTTTATTCTGTGGAAGCCCTGCTCCCAGTCAGGGCCCTGGTCCACCTGCTCCCGGAAAAGTCGAAGCTCTGCCGACGAGATCACCTCATTCTCTGGGATGCTGCTGAGGTTAAAGAGGAAACGAAAAGCGGAGTTTTCGCTGGTCCCTGGGATGTTCTCCAGATGTTCTAGGCACAATTGGGAAGGGAATGAAAAAGAAAAAAAGGAGAGAAGAAAAAAAAAAAGCACATGAACTTTTCTGAGAGACTGAAAAGTCAAGAAATAGCTAAGAGTTGGGTGATAAGTGATGAACCCTGCTTATGCAGTGGAAGCCTATTTGGGGGAAGTCAGCCTGTCTTTTAATCTGAAGGAACAGATAGATACATGGGGCAGCTAGCAAACTCAGAGAGACTCAGCTAGCATTCAGCAAGCACCAGAGACAAAGTATCTCCCACCCTCCTTTATATGTCTAATAATTTCCATGTGTCAACTCCTTACTCCGCCACCATCAAGACTCCCCTTTTAAAGCCCTCTTGGCTTTGTGTGTACACAGTTTTCTTTACAAGTGGCTGTAAAGAAAAAGAGGGGCCAACGGAGCAGAGGCAGGAGGAAACATGCACACAACCACCTCTCCCTCTCCTTCCATTTTCGAGCATGTTACTAAACATTTCCCCAGCGATCTTGGAAACACAGAGCATGCCTTGTTGATCATGTTACAGAGGGGAAAATAAATTCCAACACAGTAATGATGCTGGTGGATTAATAACTCAGATTTACTTTGGAAAAGAAACATCCGCTAGGAAACATTCAGATCGGATTACAAGGCCCCTATTGAATAAATCTGACAAACACACAGCTGTAACATTAAATTCAGTAGGTGCTTTGAAAAAAGAAAAAAAAAAAAAAAAAAAAA